ACTGCGGTACTTCATTAAAATCAAAACTATGTATTTTAAGTAAGGATGCACCGATTTGATATTAATGTCTGGATTGGTCCCAATATTGATAAAAATTTTAGATCGGATATCGGTGTGATCTGTAAGGCCAAATCTATTCAGTGTAATTCTATGCTTTGTGTTCTTAAGGTTTGTCATGCTTTATCATCTATTCTGCATTAGATTTAGAATCACTAATTGCACTTTCTGCACACATAAGTAAATATCCCAGATATGTGTGGAAGCTTATTATCCCTGAGGTTCAGTGAAATCTTCCACTGCGTTTCATCAGTATTACACAGTTCTACATTAGCTTTACAACCATGCCCCGCTCAGCTGGCGCTTGCTATTTTGTGCTTTTCCTCCTTTTTCTTCAACACCAAATATATTTGGCTTCAAGTTGACTTTAAGATGCATCAACATGGGGTCAGGTTGAGTTTACAAAAGTTAATATCATGGTCTGACAATGTTCCACCTGGAACCTCGTACCAATAAACTCCTGCCCTACTCCTACTTTTGCTCTTGAGCAGTTGTCTGAAGTTCAAGGCAAACACTGGCTTTAATTTTGATATCTCTCTTTGATTGTTTGCCTTATGCAGCTCTGGAAGAAATGAAGAGAGCACTTAAAATGATCAGTTTCTCTGATGTTACTTTCTACAGGTACGTTTTTGTGTAAAATGGACATTGTTCTTTTATTCTATAAACTATTGACAACATGTCTCTGAAATTCCAGGAGAATATTTTGTATTTATGAGCAGAAGATGAGGAATGGTCCAAATCATGAAACAGATACAGGGCTTTCAGACTTCACATAAAGCAAAGAAAACAAGTTAATATTCATTTAGAAACAACAATACTAATGTTCTTACTCAGAAATCAATATTTGGTGGAATAATCAGGAGGTTTCCAATGGGGTTCAGTGCAGTGGGCTCCTCATTTTGTCCAGACCTGTATGCTCCAGTGCAATTAAAATTAATCCATTCAATAAAATGGGATTGAAACTTGCAGAAAAATGTCTTTGAATTAGAATCCCAAGCCCTAGTAGAAAACTATTAAATATATTTTCAACATTCTGCATGTTTATTCAAATGATTGTTGATTTTTACGGAAACGCTCTTGCTCTGTGACCATGAACGAAGCCAGAACATGGAAACGCAGTCTGGTGTTGTTAGTTTCCTCTGTTCTGGTCTCTGACATCACTGCTGGTTTCACAGTTTTAAATAGCAGACAGCCATTCTGTGGAGATGACAGACATTAGAAATGTCAATGCAGGGTGACGCTCTCTACTCTTCGTGGTACCTGTGCCGTTGAGTTTTGCTTACATTTTTAGCAGGGTTTGTTTGGGAGCAGAAAAAAAAGAAAAAGAAAGAAACAAAACTCCCCGAACGTTGCCACAGCAACGCTGTCAAGACAGACACGTTTCTGTCTCAGAGGAAACGCTTCGTCTCCCCAATCACTCTGCCTGAGTGCAAGGCCGCCGCAGCGTCTCTTTGAAACGTCCAGCGAGTGCCCTGATTGATGTGAACATGAAGGCATCATTAGGTCTGAGCGTCTACAGCTGCAGCCTCGTATCAAACAGGAATCTGTTTCACCTTGTTTCATAAAAGCGCCGTGTACGGTACAGCTTTCCTTACTGCGCGTGGCCGGTTATCGCTCTGCGAGACCCTCGTCCCCTTTTATCTTTTTCTTTTCTTCTAGATTTGACCAATTGTACACAGAATTGAATTTCATAATTTCTTGCTTCTGCTTATTAATTTTATATCTGGGGTAAGTTTATAATCAAGCACATCTGTTGGTCATGACGCAGCACTAAAAGCTTATTTCTGTGAGGAAAAAAAAGGACAACTTTCACCATCATTGGAAAGTGGCAACACAACGAGTGGATATAATAATGTCATACTTTCTCACTTACACAGAATGATGTGTGAAAGCTGCTTTCACACAGGAGGTGAATTCGACCCAAATCAGATTTTTTTGTTTGTTTGCTTGCTTGTCCGACTTTTTCCTCGGCACTCTCAACGGCACGGTTCCGATCTCTCGACTTGCATTTGCAGAAGACGTCAGGGTTTCCTCGTCCGCTTAGAGGTTGAACTTTTTCCAGCTCTTGCTGCGTTCCCAGCTGAGTCCACACAGATCTCAGTGGGTTTCAGTTCCTGCTCCATTTTTTTCGTGGGCCACTTGGAAGGTCGTTAAAACATCGACTTTCATGTTTGCTTTCGAGTGACAATCCTAAGTGATTGGGACACAGCAGCTCTGAAGCATTTGTTTTTGAAAAACTATTCTGCACACGGATATAAATTTAGAACCAGGCCGATAGATTTCACTTCTGCTAAGTTGTTGTTACTGACATCCGTAATGTGAAGACCTAACTATAAGGTAATTAATCATATTTTGTTTTTCTTGAACAAACTAAAGGTTCCGGGCAGAACCTTTCTGATCATGTGTTTCTGGTACGCCTGTAAACCTGACGCACAAGTGACATCCACACATAACAATAGACCACAAATTTGTTGGCCCTCAGGGGTTTTATTTTTGCTCCCAGAACAACAGTCTAATAGGACGGTAGAAAAGATCAGTGTTGTGCTAAAAGGAGTTAGCAAAGCTAATCAAGCCTATAATGGCATGTCAATGCTAAACATGTAGCAGCTAGCACAGATGTTCCCAACGCTGATTTCAGCATCTATAGTCCACATTTCTAAAGAAGTTCTATGAATGATCAGTTGTTCCTGAAATACTTGAAAGGTGAATGAGTACAACAACAACTAATGGCCAAAAAACCTGATTAACAGGCAATAAATATTGTTGTTCGGTTTACATGTGCATTTATTCAGTAATTATCATCAAAAAGGTCTTTGGAATTGCTGTTCAGGTTTTGAATAGCGACTTGGAATGAGATTAATTGTGATGAATTAATTAGACTCTGAAATTAACTCGATTAAAACGTTTGAGCTCTACCACCAGGAGGATGCAAACGCAACACAGCAGCTGGGCTGTGAACTTTCATAAAGACACATTTTTGTGAACATTTTGACATTTTTCTTCCGTGTTCCAACAAAACTCGACAGTGCAACTTTTTGGAATATTTCTAACAAACGCACATATTAAAACAAACAAACTCCAGTTTCGCCATACATATTTCTTGGCTAGCATCGCAGGTTTTCTCTTCTTGCAGTGACATTTTAGGAGCATTTTCTACCACACAGCACAAAAAAAATAAGAAAAGAAAATAATTTTGTACATGCTTAGTTTATTCCCCACACTTTATAGAAATTTAGTGTCCCTTTTATTTGATGATTTTTATTTGTCTTGAAATAAATAGCTGGAGGGAGACTCTCATAGCAGGAATAATAAGAGTAAAGTTGCAGACTTGCACTGGGCAAGTCTCGTTTCTTTTTTAGATAAGAGTTTTCCATCATGAAAAGGAGCTTTCAACGCTGCTCAGGTTTGTAGCCAGAAAGGTATTTATTAGAAGCATTTAGCTCCAAAGTCACAGATTATTAACACAAGTTTCACAGCTTTAAGAGCAGAGAGGAGGAACATGATAAATGACGTCTCAAGCTCTCCCTCCCGCCGATCTCCCAGCGTTTATCTGCAGCTGTGTGTTTAAGTGCAGCAAACAGCTAAGAGAGGTTCAGAGCCGCTCTTTTTCTCCGTGACCTTTAATAGAACCGCACAGCGCCGTCGTCCCGCTGACACCTTTGCCGTGTTTGTTTTTCATTACCGGAGTTACATCCTCACGGGACGGAGCAAAGTCAACAGCCCCAGGCGCAGTACCGCCACACAGAGGTGCAGCCGGGTGCTTCGCCGCTGTGGCAGTCCTTGTTTGGGTTTTATCTGGACTCATCGTCTTTCCTGGAGCCAACGTGGTTCAGTGAGGTTCGGTTTCCCAGGAGGAAGTGATAGTTTTTGGGGCTTTTTTTTTTCTTAATGACGAAGTAAATGTGGGTGAATTTTATTCTGCTTCCCTGCTGCAGTCGATTGCTTCATGGAGCAGCTCAAAAATGGAAAATGGAAAATAGAAAATCTTTATTAAATGTTTATCTCCAGATGCGTACTTCTTACTTGTTTGTAGAGAACGCACAAAAAGTAATTTCCCACAGGGCCTGAGATTGTACTGAGAAATGAACATGGAAGCCTTTTGCGTTGACATGCGTGGCTCAGTCCGATATTAGTATTTGTATTTTTCACGATATTGAAAAACATTCTGGATTGAGTACTGATGCCCAATCCATAAGAGCAGATCTAGTCGGTCTAACTCTACGCTTTGTGCTCTGAGATGTCGTGATTTATTATTTATTTTACATTATATTTAGGAATTCCTAATTCCACTTTTTGGTTTGTAGTTTTTATTTGTTACCTTTAACTAAGAAAGTTAGTCAGTTTCTTTATTCAATTTATATTGCATGTTTATTCTCCTAATTTCACTGATGAAACAGATTAAAGTTGTTTTTCCATGTCTGACCAAACTTGTGAAGCTATCGGTGTATTTAAGTGTGCTGTACTGGTCCAGAGTTAAGAAAACATATTTTTAATAAATAAATAAAAAAAAGTCTTTTTAGCTCTGATTTTCTGTATCTGATCGGGATTGGCCGATACTAAACCTCAGGTATCGGAAGTGGAAAAAGTGGGTCGGTGCATACCCAATCATTTTTTTGACTGTAAGTTTATGTTTTTTAGTGTCTTGAAAATGAGCGGCTTCAAAATCCTCCCGATCTTGAAGTCACATTTGATGGACACTGCGCTTGTTGCCTAGCAACTCCCGCGAGCACCAGCACATTTGGTCTGCTGGTTTCACGGCTGTCTGCTCTGTCCAATGGCTGCTGGAGAAGACAAGTTTTTTTCGTTGTTGTTGATCTACCATCTTATTGCATTCTCATTGGTTCCGCAGAAGGCTCCACTTCTGCTTTTCCAAGATGCACAATTGGCAAACCCATCGGGTGACAGTTAGGACTTACCTTCCCGTTTTTCCTTTCCCCACACAGAGAGGAGGAGGAGAGCCTACGCAACAAGATTCGCGCCGACCACGAACGAGCGCTGCAGGAGGCGAAGGAGAAACTGCGCAAGTCTCGCCAGGAGCTGAAGGCTGAGATCCAGACGGAAAAGGCCAAAGTCATCGAGGACCTGAAGAAGAAGGAGACGGGGCCCAAACCCTTACCGCCCGTTCCCATGCCCAAGGTCGTCGGGGTCAGCGACGGGGAGCCTTCTGAGGCGGACGCCAAGGAAAAGCGGGATAAGATCAGAGAGGTAAGGATGTCTTTGTTGGATTTTGTGGAAATGTGTTAAAGCGATAACCTTCAGCGTCTCAGTTGGCAGCTTCGATGGTGAAGTGAAGAATTGTCGGATGGTTATTGTGTTTTAGATTTTCTTTTCTTATCCAATCCCTCCCACCTACCTAAAAACCAAAAAGTGTCGTTGGCATTCGTATTCAATCTTTCTGGCTCAATACTATCTTTGTGTCAAACTAAATGGAAAACATTGGCGGACATCAGTTTTCAGCTTTTTCTGCAGAACTACATCGTTCCTTTATAACTCTGCCTGTGTCCTTCAGGGTTAACCACTGCTCTAGTTTTAAGTCATTCAAAGCGATTAACATATTTTGTCTTATTTCCACTTTTATTGAATTTGTATTTTTTTTCCATTTATTTCTCTCAGATGAATGATTTAAAAAAGTCAGATCTTATCCTCTCTTAAATCCTCTCTTCCACTGAATCTCCACTCTGGGATGGACGGGCATCTAATGAACGTTGCTTCCAGAGTCATGCGGTGCGGTTCAGCCCCAAACCTGCGACCCACAGAGCCAGAGTGCATCCGACTGTACGTCGCATGCTTGAATTCCCCCCGTCGCCTGCTGCCCTGTCCGAGTCAGCTCCTGGCGAAGGCAGCAGCGGGCCAGACAGACAGTGCATGTGCAGAATGCAGATGGTGCTATCTGGTGCTGCTCTCTTTAGATGCGATGCCAGCCCCAGCGTATCTCTCTCCTCTTTCCTTTCCCTTCTTTCTCTCTCTCTAAGTTTCCTCGCATAATTGCCTCGTGTCGTGTCTCATGAAACGGCACTCGGAGTCAGTACGCTTGCTGTGCCGAGTAGTGGGCCCTCTCCTCTCCAGAAACCGCCTTTGTCTCTAAAAGCCTCTTTTGTTCCCTTTCATAATTGCCATGCAGAGAGAATGCCGTACACCCCCAAATGAGAAAGAATGAGGCAGCTGTATGGGCAACAGCACAGCAGAATCATCCCCCCCTTCCTCTCTCCATCCTTTCCCGATTGCCTGGCAAAATCCAAGGTGAAAACCTCATAACACGCAGCAGAAGAGTCTATGTGAGTGGAATATGGGAGCCTCTCCCGTTTCCTATCCAGGTTGCAGGCTGCTCTTTGTTTCGCACGTTGATCAAGTTCTGAGAGATGATCCAGCATCGATGAGCTCGTCAGCGTTGCATCCAGATAGAAAGCAGTAAATCACTTCCATGGAGGGGATCCTTCCTTTTTAGTAATGCGCATAGATGTTTTCAATGCACATAGTGGGATTCCATAGTACAATCCGGTAGGGTTCAGCAGCTGACCAATTTATCAGCATCGGTTTTTGTGAAGCCGATATTATTCAACAATCTTATCTACCTTAACAGATGTCTAAATATCAACCACTGTCTTCTTCCGCTCTCCTGTGAGACATTTTATATATATATATATATATATATATATATATATATATATATATATATATATATATATATATATATAAACATTTGATAATATTGTTGGCTGTTGGAATAATAGGATTTGCAGCGATTCAACGAGTAAACTGAAATGTCGATGAGATCTGTTGTAGTAGCTACTCAAGCTAGTAAATTACATATATGAAAGAGAAAAAGCTAAATAACACAATTCTGTTATTTTTTAAGATTTTAAGGCTTAAATACAAAAACTTTAAAACACCACTTTGAAATCTCAAGTTTCAACTGAGAAAAAAGCTGAGAAATAAAACGTGTTGACTCGATCATTTAAAAATTAAAAAGCAAACCTAAATTGAGCCATTGCTTGGCTCTTTAAGTATGTAACGACGTCGTCAACTCAGTTCACCTCATAAACAATGACCGTTTATGACGGAATACGCAATATTCTTTTAGACATGAGATGTCCTTGGTTTTATCAGTGCTTTGGTTGGTGATGGGCTCTATCTTTGCCATTGCCATTTGCTAATGCAAACTGTAAATGGTAATGTCTTGTCCAACTGGTCGTGCACCACGTGGGAGATTAGTCACATCCACCTGAATACTCCTGCTGTTGATTCTTGACCCTTTTTGCTTCATAATTTTGCTTTGATGCCTTTCAAAATGCATATTTCATTGACCGTTCAGAAGAGAGGGGAAACAAAAATCCTCTTTTCTGATTTTTAGTGAGTCAACGTCTGCTTTCTTGTGTGTTCTGTTTCCAGTGTGACTGAGGTTTCTGCCTAAGAATAAAGAAAGCTTGTTTGGACGGGGAAAAAATCTGCAGTGGAATAAATGTAATTATTGACGCACCCAGCTCTATTGACCTGTCGCATTATGAAATATTGTTGGCTCAGAGCTTAAAAGAAAAATATATAAATTTGCATGTTGCTGTTACATTTTCGCTTAATTGGGAATTTCTAAAATGAGGTTTTATTTGAAAATGTACACTGGATATATGAACAGGCATAACATTATGACCACTCACAGGTTGAGTGAATAACTTTAGCTCTTTATTTGTCATCAACTGCAGTTGTAGGCTTTTGACAATTTTTGGTTGGTCTTTGCTATATCCTGACCAGAACCAGATACCATTGGAGTGGTGAAGGACTTGATTCTATGAACACAGTAAGAATTGTGTTTGTTTCGTGGCACTATGTCCCTTTGATTCACGATGCTGCTTTGGGAACATCATGTTTTGTGCTTTTCTGCCACATAACTATTTCAAAAGCATTTTCCTCTGAATATTTTCTAAAGTCCCACTGATTGTTGCGAAAAGCAGCCCGAATTTTAACAGCCCACCCAAAGCTGTTTTTCTTTTCCAGCCAAATGTGTTCAAAAGCAGCCCAATCTGGCAACACTGATCACCACATAAAGTGTTTGCAATTGGCGCGAGAATCAGAGCTGGTCTATTGAACCATCACTGCACGAATAGAAGATCTAGTTTCTAGTGCAAATATCAGAGTTTTTCCTTTATTTCAAGAGTAGCAGCTCATAAGTAACTTTTCAGCAAAATGTAGAGGCTTGTTTTTGAGTAAAAAAAAAAATTTGTATTGATGAAAAAGTTGTTCTGCTGGCAGATCATTTCACTTATAACAAGGCATTTTTTCTCATGTTATAAGTGAAATAATCTGCCAGTTGAACAACAACTTTTTTATCAATATTGACGACTTACTGACTTAAAACAAACTCATCATGTATTTTGCTTAAAAGTTACTTGTGAGTTGATTTGATCTTATTTAAGTCTGGCTAATGAATCTAACAATATGTTTTGTGGTGAACACACGATAAACATGTAATACATCTGATGTGATATTCAATAATTTCCTCGAACTCCGGTCCAGAACCTCACAGCATTCTGGGGGACGTAGGCAGAGGAGAAAGATTAGCTGCTCAGCTTCTCACAGCTATTTAAATACTTTTGAGTGGCATCAACTAACTCACTCTTTGGTTTTCTAGCAACAACCAGTTTTCTCATAGCTGCTTAAAAATGAATAAGTGGCGTGGAGTGAAAGGAGAAGATGGCCAGAACATCTCGAGAAGAAAATGTGGATGAAACGGGAAAGTTGACTCCACCAGTTTGGCATTATATTAGAAACTTAAAACAAACTAAAAACAATAATTATCTATCGACTCGCATGAAAACCTGATATTGTGATATGTTTTTCAAACATGTCTTCCAGGCCTACTCTTATTTCAGTTATTTGTAGTAGAAACTGGACCAGAACACTTGCTAAAGCAGCGATGGAACAAGGTCACCTTGTCTGATGAAGCTCCTTTTTCTTCTACTTCCCCCCAGACGGTGAGCTGTGTGCATAAATTACCTGGGATTCACATCTGATCAGCATGCACCACGGGAACAAAATGAATCTGGTAGACATACCTAAGCACTATTAAAGGCCTGCTTGTTTCAAAATGGACCACGCACATCACATAATTTGCCAGAGTTAGCCTTAAAGGCGAGCTTTCATCTGTAGTCCCTCAAAGTATGATCAATAGAAAAACACATCACATTGTAATACAGCTTTACAAGATCCTTCCAAGAAAAGATAATAATGATAATAATAAATAAAAGTTTGTTTTTTTAACTAAAATGAGCATATCAATTTACAAAATGAAAAACTATAAAAGCCACATTGCGCAAAAGTTCACCACAACACAGACAACACAAACACAACAAAAGTAAGAATCACGTTACTCTCTCTTGGCAGTACAATGAAGCACATTTGGCCTCCAAATGACCCCAGATCTCAGTCCAGTTGCGCATCCGCTAATGTGCTGAGCAAACGAGCTGTATCCATGGAGACCACCCTGGAGCCCACATGTTTAAAGGACTCGGCCAAATGCAGGAAGGCTAAACGCCCCCCACATGCCACCGCTCCCCTTCAGGAAGCAGCTGGAGTCCATCTCTCTGTGGGGCCCGGCCATCACCATATATCTCCTGGTCGGTGTCGTGGGAGACCAAACGGCTCCAACAGCTCCAGAAACATTGAAATGGTGAAAAAATGAAGAAGGAAAAAAAAAAAGAACCGTTTACAGCAGCAGTGATCTGATCATCCGTCTATAAAACCTTTTGCGTTTATGGACAGCCTGCTAAAAGTTTTCATTTTTCTTCTACTTTGCGGTGATGGAGACTTATTTAGCTTCTGATTGTCACTGCCACTTTGCAGGCTGCTTGCATCGTAGTTATCGTGACGAAATGCTTTATGGCAGCAAACTGTTTTTTTCTTTTTTTGCCTCCCCCGGCTTTTTCGAGCAGCTGTGTCAGAAAGCAGAGCTTCCCAGCCTTGCAGGTGTGCAGCAATTGGATTCACTTTAGGGGCTGTCTGATTGGTTGGAAACACAGATTGCAGGTGTGCTGTGCAAACAACAAGAATGGCCATCCGAAAGCACAGCTTGCCTCAATGAATGTATAGTGCTTATTTTGTGATTTTTAAGGAAGCGCCTTCTCCACAAATGATTAGGAGTTGCATTCCATGCTAAAATTTGTGAATAAATCAGACATGTCTGCAATTTTTTTCTTATTTAGTTCTTCTTAAAG